ACAATCTAACAAGAAGAAATATTAAGGTAAGTAGAGCTGTATTTAAAAAAGTGGGGTTTCTCTTTCCTTTCCTGAGCGTTTATCACCCAGAGCAGGCTGAAGTTCTGATCCTGCAGACTGCTCCCCAGTGCTTGTATGCTCACTCTGGGAAACAAAGACGGTTATTTGAATTCTTTTGCAGGTACAATCTTTGTTTACTTTCTAGTTTGAATGAAATTAAAACATACATTTAGCAATAAATGCAGCATGATGCTCCTTACCTTGCACTCATTTTTCTCTAGTAGTCCTGTATCTTAGAATATTTGAGTATATTCTTTCCCAAACCAAGCACTGAAAATAAACCACTACCAGTATCATCTCATTTTCATTAACTTCTGATACAGCATCTCAGTGTTCCTTCCAAAATGTACCATGCTGGATGGCTGCATAAAATAAACTGGTATCATTTAAAGCTTTCTTTGGCCTGGAGCACACAGCGCACATCTCAGTTGCTTGCTATGTTCTTGGTATGAGGCAGCAAAACGAACGAAGCCAGGCTACACATAGCGGGGTAGGGTGAAAAGGTCTGGATCCTACACAGTTTGGTGGGTAGGGGGAAGGATGGGAACCTATTTTATTCTCAAAATGCAACAGTGATGTTTTTCCAAATATCTGGCTGACCAGACCAAAACAAGATTTTTGAACGTTAACAGCAATAAAAAGAACACATTTCAGTATTTTAAATGTGTTGCATGCAAGGGGGAGAATGGACAAATCGGAGGAACATGCCACACATTCCAGCTGCAGATGTTTGCCTAACAACTGATAGGGGCGTACAGCACTGGCTGCTGTGGGAGGCTACCCAGCAAGGACCAGTGCCGACGGCAGGGAGGAGGAACCCAATACCTTCCCATGCACTCGGTAGCTCTCGATGGCAGCAAACGACCAGAAGAGCTGCTTTTTCCTGAAGTACATGGCAGGGCAGCTGCAGGAAGTTTCTGCTGTCATTGCACATGTCCCCGCCCACCAGCTGTCATGAGTCCCAGTTACGGCACACAGAAACACCTCTGTTTCATGCACATGCCTGCACAGAAACACAGGCAGAGGGGAAAAAAATCCCGTGGGTATCAAATACAGAAATAGCACTGAAAACCTTGTCCTCTGATAGAGTCATGGCAGTGTTTTCCCAGGTCAATGAACAGCATGCCTTGTGGCAGGATCACCATCGCATGTGTATTGCTTGCTTTCATGCCATCTTAACCTATCAGCTGGCACTTGCTACCTCCAGTAGTAAGGATAAAAATGATTCTGTTTACAAGAAGCACCGCACCGTATGAACCTGCTGTGTGAAGTCCAGTATTTATAGAAATGGCTATAAAGAACAAAAATATGGAGGGACCGCTGACTCACATACACGCTGTATTTTCTGAAGAGCGCGTACGTATTAAATCTGCAAACTAAGGACTGCGACAGCTCTCACCTTGCCCCTTTTCTCTTTCCCTCAGTTTGGTGTGGGAGCTCATGTCACCAGTGAAGCTACATCACAAAAAGAGCCTCCCAGAGGGAAAAGAAGGGGAGGGGATAAAGGAAGAGGTGGAAAGGAAATACACAGGGAAGCAGCTTTGCCTTCTGTTGTTAAAGCCACAGCCCACTCATAGGATCATAGAATCATAGAATAGTTTGGGTTGGAAGGGACTTCTAAAGGTCATCTAGTCCAACCCCCCTGCTGTGGGCAGGGACATCTTCAACTAAATCAGGTTGCTCAGAGCCCTGTCCAACCTGACCTTGAATGTTTCTAGGGATGGGGCATCCACCACCTCTCTGGGCAACCTGTTCCAGTGTTTCACCACCCTCAGTGTAAAAAATTTCTTCCTTAAATCTAGTCTAAAGCTACCCCCCTTTATCATGAATCCCATCATGAATCATGTTTCCAGCCTGCAGAGTGAAAAGTACAGAATCACTAGCAATGAAGTATGTAAGCTCTTCATATCAGCATCACTGCTTTAAGTAATTGAATTGTTCTGCGGAGTAATTTGACAAGCTGACAGGCTGCTCATCAAATGAGAACCAGAACGCATGCCATTTGCGAGATGAGACAGCAATAAGCTTTTAATCAGTTTCCAACGAGAGCAATTCAAGTGAGGTCGTATATTAATAGATTTTTTTCCTCTGCAAAGCCTCACTCCTGGAGCTGCCCTGGCTAGGCCCGGCTCTAGCTGACCAGGAGCCCGTCGCACTGGGCAGTTTGGAGGCCCCCCCTGGCCACCACCAGGCAGCCTGTGGGCAGGAGACACACCCGTGCCCTCCCAAGGGCCACACTCACCTCATGGGTGGCCCCAGCCCTCACCTCAGCCAGGCCGCAGCTGGAGCAGCGGAGTACAGGACCGCCACCACCAGATCCAGGGATGGGGAGGGGACAGAAGGGGGCTTCAGGTAGGCAAAAACTGCAGTGCTGATAAACAGGGAGACCACAGCCAGGTGAGGCAGGTGCATGGAAAAGGCTTTGTGCCGTCCCTGCATAGGGGGGATCCTCAGCACGGCCCTGAAGATCTGCACATAGGAGAAGAGAATGAAAACAAAACACCCAAATGCTAAACAGACACAAAACACAAGAAGCCCGGCTTCCCTGAGGTAGGGGTGTGAGCAGGAGATCTTGAAGATCTGTGGGATTTCACAGAAGAACTGGTCCACATTTCCCTCGCAGAGAGATACTGAAAATGTATTGCCCATGCACAGCATTGAGAAACCCACTGCCCCAGGCAGCTGCTGTCATGATGAGACAAGCTGTGCTGCCCAGGAGGGTCCCGTAGTGCAGGGGTTTGCAGATGGCAACGTGGCGGTTGTAGGCCATGATTGTGAGAAGAGAAAATTCTGCCACGATGAAAAAGACAAACAGAAAGACATGGGCAGCACATCCCAAGTTGGAGATGGCCCTGGTGTCCCAGAGGGAATTGGCCGTGGCTTTGGGGAGAGTGGTGGAGATTGAGCCCAGGTCAAGGAGGGAGAGGTTGAGAAGGAAGAAGTACATGGGGGTGTGGAGGCAGTGGTCACAGGCTACAGGGGGGGGGAGGAGGCCGTTGCCCAGAAGAGCAGCCAGGTAGATGCCCCTGAAGAGCCAGAAGTGCAAGAGCTGCAGCTCCCACATGTCTGTGAACACCAGGAGGAGGAACTGTGGTGATGGAGCTGCCGTTGGACATCTGCTGCCTCTGGGCATGGGGGCTATGCATGGAGGAAAGGACAGTGAGAAGTTAGGGGAGACTTCTCTGACCAAAATCAAAGCCATTTCCCATAGAAACAGTTTTCCTTTTCAGGAAAACCTTAGTGCAACTCCCTGGCTTCAGCTCTGGCTTGTGCTGGCTGCGGGTGTCACGGGGAGCAGGGGGCTCTGCTGTGAGCTCTGGAGGAGTCAGTCCTGCCCTACAGCAAGAGGTAAAGAGGAACACAGGGTGGTCTGAGATCAAATCACTCATGATCTCAAAGAGCTTTCCAGCATTGGTGCTCCCAAATCCCCCGATGGCAGAGCAGAGCTCTGGGAACTTTGTCTATTTTGTTCTGCGTCCCCCTCCACACCCGAGCCATGTTTTTGAGGCAGAAATCCTTGGCATTTCTGCTGCACTGAAAGTGATCCCTTGTGTGTCCAGAGAGGCAAAGGGACCATCCCTTAGTGCAGAGTGAGGAGAGCCGGTCCCTGTGCCCTTGGAGCCTTGCAGAGGCTGTGCTGGGGAGGAGAGGAGACAGGAGGTTGCCCAGGGAAGGCATCTGCGCTGCAGAGGATGGCAGGGAGGTGCCTGAATCCCCCCTCCCACAGCATCTCCCTCTCCCTCTCTGCCCACGTCTCTGCTGCCTGGATCTGTCCCTGCCAGGAGCTGTTTCTCTGTCTCCTCCCTGCCAGTACTCACAGACCTCATCCCACCTGCTGTGTGGGACCCTCTGCAAACGTCCTGGTGTGATCTGGAGCTGTGATCAGCCCTGACCCTCACAGCACGCTCTCAACAGCAGAAGAACCCTGCCCTGCCCTGCCCTGCCCTGCCATGCCAGAGGTGTCTCCTTTCACCCACAGCTTCTCCCTGCAGGGCCATGGGGAGCTCCCTGGGCAGTGTTGACCCTGGCAGGTGGCAGAGTCCCTGCCCCGGCACACAGCGCCCTGGGGTGCAGGGACCCTGCTTTGAAGAACAGACCTGGGCACCCCTGGCTGCACACCCGGCTTCACACCCTGCAGCCATGCCCAGAAGAAGGCAGCCATCGTGCCCTGTCCCTCTCATGGTGCAGCAGGCAATCTCTGCTCTGGAGCACCTCCTCCTCCTCCTCTACACCAGAGTACCTCTGAGAGTTGTACTTAGAGATCCCATAGGCTGTGCGATGTGCCAGCTTTAGGAGATCCCACCAGGATCTGCAGATGCAATGCCCTGCAGCCACAGACTTACTCTCTGTGAAGATTTCTCCCCCCCGGTGAGCATCCTCCCACCCCAGACTGCCTTTAACCTCTCTCTGCCTCACTCCTCTCCCCTCAGTGCCTGCAGGTAGTGCCCTCAGCCCTGCTGTGCTTTGCAGAGGAGCTGCTCCTAGGCAGAGCTGTCTCTGCAGCACTGCCCACTTGCCATGAGCTCCCTCCATCCCAGAAGCCCAGCCCAGCTCAGCATCAGAGGATCAGCCCAAGACGTCAGTTTCTTTGCCTGCCCTGGCTCCCTCGAGGTGTCCCTGGGCTCCTGGGGAACCTCCTGTGAAACAGGCTGAAGTCATCACTGATGTTCCTTCCCTCAGCTGGGGAAGAGACACTGCTTTCCAACAATGTCTTTTGTCGTATTGGTGACAGAATTAGGTCCTAGAATAACCTTTCCATGTCCCATCATTAGACAGGACAGGCAGGGATCTCTTTTACCCCTGCTGGGGGAAGGGATTCAGCTGAGTCAATTGAGGTATCTCATCCTGGATTTGTAGTCCTGGGGTTAGAAGGGGACTCAGTTCCCTCCCACGCATGACACAAACACGGGAGGAGGGATTCCTCTTGCCTCAGTTCAGGTGTGCACCAAATGGGTGTCTGCATGTCAACTCCTTGACTAAGCTCCCATGGCAAGTAATGGAGATGGAGGGCAGCAGTGAGGTGTTCAGATGCAAACACCCAGTGACTTTTGAGGTACCAGAGGTGGTCCAAGACACATGCAGGTAATTGCAAGCTCTAATGAAGCAACTGTGAGGGACAGGACAGCATCTGAGGGCATCATCTTGAGGACTGGTGAGGAGTTTGTTTGGTCAAATGAAGTGACAGATGATGCCCCCATTTAGGACCATGAAACCTGTCCCTCCTCCATATGTTCAGGGCAGCCTATAGAGGTATTTGTCTGAACAAATGGAATCTTGTGCCATAAGGAAAGCTACGTCTTCTCTTTCTCTTCTCCATCAGTTGTATTTCCTAGATCTTCAGTGACTGTTACTTCAGTTGTCTCATGGACATCCTTTCCTTGCCTATCTTCATTCAAGGCAGCAACTCAATTCCCTGGCCAATGACAGGCCTCTAGTGCTATGTGAGATGCCAGGGCTCTTCAGCACAGCAGCATGTGGGAGGGACAGCACGGGACATGCAGCTACCCCAGATGGCAGCTGAGACAATTTTGGTGCTTGTGCTCCAGCGACTGATTCCCACCAGGGTGGTTAGGCCATGTCCATGCCATCTCTAGCGCGTGCCTTCAGGCAGGGCACAAATACAAGGAACACATCACCACCAGCTGGCACACCACTTGTGTGCCAGTGTCCTCAAAAGCTGTTGGTTCTTCTCACCCTCATCCTTTACTCACCCCCTTGAAGACACAATCAAGGAACAGCCCAATAATTTTCACAGTGTTCCTGAATCACAGGATGTCCATAGCCAACATTTTCAGCAGCACCTTGTCTTTCCTGGAGATCAGCTTCACCTCATTCACAGGTCCTCCCAGGCTGCAGAGACACCCCAGACAGCAAAGCCCTCTGCTGCTAGGCCTTCACAGTCCAGCCTTGCTTCTATGTGGTGTTTTCAAAAGCAGGGTTAGTTGACTCTGTGGGCACCTCATGTCGTCTATCTCATCATCTACATGTACAGCTCATCTCATCATAACATTGCCATCTGCCATCCACTCCAGCATCTCAGGTCTGAAGCACAGCTTTTACACATACAGGGACTTGGGACAAGTCTGCCCCTGGCCCTGGCACCACAGCTGAGGTGCTGCAGCCCAAATGGGCGCCATTGCCCTCACTGCTTGCTCTACCACCTCACCCTCACCCTCACCGTAGTGTAAGCCCAGGTCCAAAATGGATACCCACCAGCTAGGGGACCCAGGCGTCCAGGAGAGGACCCAGGTGTCCAGGATAGGAGACCCAGGAATCCGGGAGGGGACACAGGTGTCTGGGAAAAGGGACCCAGGCGTCCGTGATAGATAACGGACCCTGGCATTCAGGAAAGAGGACCCAGGTGTCTGGGAGGGGACCCAGGTATCTGGCAAATGTACCCAGGTATCTTGGAAATGGATCCAGGCATCCAGGGGAGGACCCAGGCATTCAGGAAAGGGGACCCAGTCATCCAGGACAGGACCAGGCATCCGGGATAGGGGACCCAGGCATCATAGACAGGGGACCCAGATGTTCAGGGAAGTCACCCAGGAGTCCAGGAGGCAACCCAGGCATCTCAGATAGGAGACGCAGGTGTCCGAGATAGAGGACCCAGTCATCCGGGAGAGGACCCAGGTGTCTGGGATAGGGGACCCAGGCATCTGGGATAGAGGACCCAGGGGTCCAGGAAAAGGACTCAGGCATCAGGGATAGGGGACCCAGGTGTTCAGGAGGGGACCCTGGCATCCAGGGCAGTGGACCCAGGCATCCAGGACAGGACTCAGGCATCCAGGACAGGACCCAGGCACCTGGTAGAGTGCTCAGGCATCTGGGAAATGCTCCCATACATCCAGGATAGGGGATCCAGGCATCCCGGAGGTGATGCAGGCATCTGGGTAAAGAACCCTGATGCCTTGCTGTCCTGGTTTCAGCAGGGATAGAGTTAATTTCTTTTCTAGTAGCTGGTACAGTGTTTTGGATTTAGGATGAGAACAAAGTTGATAACGCACCGATGTTTTAGTTGTTGCTAGGTAATGCTTACACTAGCCAAGGACTTTTCAGCTTCCCATGTTCTACCAACTGAGAAGGCTGGAGGTGCACAAGAAGCTGGGAGGGGGCACAGCCAAACTGGCCAAAGGGACATTCCATACCATGTGACGTCATGCTCAGTACATAAACTGGGGAAAGCTGGCCGGGGGGGCCGCTGCTCGGGGACTGGCTGGGCATCGGTCGGCGGGTGGTGAGCAATTGTACTGTGCATCACTTGCTTCGTGTATTATTATTATTTTATTATTATTATTATTAT